CTCCATCTTATTTATTCATCAATAAAATTATTTCCACAGTCTGATCTGCTCCAGACAAAACATTGATTTGTTTCATGTGAAACCGAAGTATGAAATCATCCCTCCACATTTTAAAAACACGCTTTCCACCACCCAATATTCTTTATGTTTATAACAATATAATTATTTCAATGTCAAAGCTAATAAAAGATATTTAACACAAGTGGAAGATTTAGTATAATGCTAAGGAAAATGACATATTAAACAAAATTTAAATCACATGAATGTTTAAAAAAAAGATCCTCTACCGATATACTCGGCTTCAATTGCATGCATCAATGATTTGCCTTGTATTATTACTCTAAATCAGTAATGCAAATTTTTTTTAAATAATTTCTTGGTGCTATCATGACACCATCTGCCCTTAGAGATAAATTGATGAATTTTGATTTACATAGATATAAGTTTGTAAGGATGTTCTAGTCCCTACTTGTTGCAAGATTATGCCACTTTGGGAATTTTTCAATGTTACTGTTCGAGATCATAAAACTAATAATTTACACATATATCACATAAAAGGAATTGTCTACATACAAATCACAAACACGACTTTAGATTGTTGGGAAAATTGAGTAATTTGTGTGTAGATAAATTTATCGATTAGCATATTCAATTACATGACATAAACATAATTCAACAATAATATAAAATAAAAGTAGAGTTAGAAACCAAGCCTTGGAAGTCACGTCGAAAACGTTGTGCTAAAGTCGTGTCGCCTCCCCTTCGTGCAGGTTCTTTCGACACTACACTGCTCCAAGATAAAATCCATGTGACTCTCCTTCTATGGGCACGACCATAGGGAGATAAAGAACGAGCCTTTGATCGAATTGCCAAAATATAAGAATATAGTATAAATTATATAAAATGTTTTCTTCCAAATTATTATATTCTAATACTCCTTTGCAATGAGATGTAACCACCTTTTATAGGTGTAAATCAACCTCCACAATTAAGTCATTAAAATGGAGGTTATAACATGAATTATGATATTTTAATTGTGTGAAAAATGATTATTAAATAAATAAAAACTGAAAATTAAATGAGTTAAATTGTTGAAAGGTTAAAACTTAATTTTAAGTTACAACATTTACTTCTAAAATAATATTCAAAATAGAAGGTACTTGTCCTTGTCCTCAAACTATTCAAAGCTAAAAAGCATTCTAAAGAAAACAAAAGTGAGTCAAGAGAGGGTTCAATTGACTAAAAATTCCAACCGGACTTTTTAAAAGTCAAAAATTGCCTTTGAAATGACTAATTGAATACTTTGGATAATTTTTTTAAAGTACTTTATCTGGTAAAAAATGTTTTTAGAATAAGCTAATTTAAAGGTCTGTTTGGTTGGACTTCTAATTCTTATATAAGAGTTTTTTGAGAAAATTATCTAATTATTGTTTGAAAACTAATTTATAAAAGAGTTTTCTTCGAAAGAGCTTTCAAATGAAGTCATGTTACATTAACTTTCTTTAAAAACTCCTTTAGTTAGAATAAGTGCTTTTATAAAATTAACTAAATGGACTCAAAAGTAATTTTTGACTCCTTGAATTTTCATTTACATAGATATAAGTTTGTAAGGATGTTCTAGTCCCTACTTGTTGCAAGATAATGCCACTTTGGGAATTTTTCAATGTTACTGTTCGAGATCATAAAACTAATAATTTGCACATATATCGCATAAAAGGAATTGTCTACATACAAATCACAAACACGACTTTAGATTGTTGGGAAAATTGAGTGATTTGTGTGTAGATAAATTTATCAATTAGCATATTCAATTACATGACATAAACATAATTCAACAATAATATAAAATAAAAGTAGAGTTAGAAACCAAGCCTTGGGAGTCACATCAAAGATGTTGTGCTAAAGTCGTGTTGCATTCCCTTCGTGCGGGTTCTTTCAACACTACACGGCTCCAAGATAAAACCCATGTGACTCTCCTTCTATGGGCACGACCATAGGGAGATAAAGAACGAGCCTTTGATCGAATTGCCCAAATATAAGAATATAGTATAAATTATATAAAATGTTTTCTTCCAAATTATTATATTCTAATACTCCTTTACAATGAGATGTAACCACATTTTATAGGTGTAAATCAACCTCCACAATTAAGTCATTAAAATGGAGGTTATAACATGAATTATGATATTTTAATTGTGTGAAAAATGATTATTAAATAAATAAAAACTGAAAATTAAATGAGTTAAGTTGTTAAAAGGTTAAAACTTAATTTTAAGTTACAACATTTACTTCTAAAATAATATTCAAAATAGAAGGTACTTGTCCTTGTCCTCGTCCTCAAACTATTCAAAGCTAAAAAGCATTCTAAAGAAAACAAAAGTGAGTCAAGAGAGGGTTCAATTGACTAAAAATTCCAACAAGACTTTTTAAAAGTCAAAAATTACCTTTGAAGTGACTAATTGAATACTTTGGATAATTTTTTTGAAGTACTTTATCTGATTAAAAATGTTTTTAGAATAAGCTAATTTAAAGGTCCATTTGGTTGGACTTCTAATTCTTATATAAGAGTTTTTTGAGAAAATTACCTAATTATTGTTTGAAAACTAATTTATAAAAGAGTTTTTTTCGAAAGAGCTTTCAAATGAAGCCATGTTACATTAACTTTCTTTAAAAACTTTTTCAGTTAGAATAAGTGCTTTTATAAAATTAACTAAATGGACTCAAAAGTAATTTTTGACTCTCAAAAACTAATAATTTCTCAAAAGTCATGCCAAAAGTTAAATTACTAAAAAAGTTACTTCTCAAAAAATCACTCTGACACAGAATATGTGTTATTATTTATGTCAATTACATCGTTACTTATGTTTGTCGTTTACAAAACACATGATAATTTTAAGCAAGATTACTACTTTTTTTATTTGCATAATTTTGTCGTAGCAAATTTTTATAAATTAGCCTCGTTTGGTACACATTAATATAAAAATGAGAATAAAAAATATAGTCGTTATGGATCACATGTAAGAGATAGAAAGTCAAATATGGTGGTTTGATATAATGAATAACGACCACATTTTTCATTTTAATAGGCAAATAATGAAAAACAAACGGGAGCTAAAGTATATAAAATCCGTATAACATGTGATTAAGTCACATGATAATTTCTTATTAAATAATTGAAATCTGAGTTCTTAAGTGAAGACCAAACTTTATATGAATTAAAACTCATTTACTAAAGTATAATTAGGTTGCCGTCGCTGGAGTCATTCCCGGAGACGGTCCAATAGATGCGATTCAAGACATTGGTCTGGCCTTTGGGTTCGGGTAGACCCAATAAATTAATCTTCCATATATTAATAAAAAAAATTATCGATCACAAAATTACTAATTGATAGAGGTTATACTATACCTAACTTTTTTGGAAAAATGATTATGAATTTGTAGTGTTAAACCGTTTGGTAGCCATTAATTGGCAAAATGCATTTTTCCTATCAAATAAATGTGGGGTCAATGCCATATTTTATTCTCCAATTCAAATTCAAAATGTGTGAATTCTCATCTTTGCCCTTTTTGTTCTTATAGTAGAGAGAGATTGTAGACTGTTGGTTGGATGGGCAATTGGAGGAAATGGGAATTGTGTGCGCCTCAAAACAGTCTCATGCATTGTCAGATATTGGACATGAAACGATTCAAAAATGAATTAATTGGAAAATATAATGGCTACCAAACGGCCTCACATTTTTTAGGAGCTTATTGTACATCGGAGCAATATTAAGTTCGTTTGTTCTGAAATTTGAAATTTCTTCGTAACATCGAAGACAATCTTCTCGACTATTCAAGGAGTTTCTTTCACATTGCTGCATTGTACCTTAAACTTCCCGAGTTGTACCTTAACCATAGAAACAGATCTTTTATGTAGAAAAATAATCTCTAATCTCAAGTCGATAGTGAAAATTTATTTTATTTATTGATACGCCATTTTCAAAATGCGCAAACATGTGCTGTATGGAAAGGTACCAGGACGGCGTCGTATCATCGAGATTAGGTCAACGATCTCAAATTTATGTCAATTACATCGTTACTTATGTTAAACGTTTACAAAACATATGACAATTTTAAGCAAGATTACCACTTTTTTAATTTGCTTTAATTTCGTCGTAGCGAATTTTCATAAATAAAATTATATAAAATCCGTATAACATGTGATTAAGTCACATGATAATTTCTTATTAAATAATTAAAATCTGAGTTCTTAAGTGAAGACCAAACTTTAGATGAATTAAAACTCATTTACAAAATATAATTAGGCTGCCGTCGCCGGAGTCATTCCCGGAGACGGTCCAATAGATGCGATTCAAGACATTGGTCTGGCCTTTGGGTTCGGGTAGACCCAACAAATTAATCTTCCATATATTAATAAAAAAAATTATCGATCACAAAATTACTAATTTATAGAGGTTATTCTATACCTACCTTTTTTGCAAAAATGATTATGAATTCGTAGTGTTAAACCGTTTGGTAGCCATTAATTGTCAAAATGCATTTTTCCTATCAAATTAATGTGGGTCGATGCCATATTTTATTCTCCAATTCAAATTCAAAATGTGTGAATTCTCATCTTTGCCCTTTTTGTTCTTATAGTAGAGAGAGATTGTAGACTGTTGGTTGGAGGGGCAATTGGAGGAAATGGGAATTGTAGGCGCCTCAAAATAATCTCATGCATACGATTCAAAAATGAATTAATTGGAAAATATAATGGCTACCAAACGGCCTAACATTTCTTAGGAGCTTATTGTACATTGGAGCAATATTAAGTCCGTTTGTTCTGAAATTTGAAATTTCTTCGTAACATCGAAGACAATCATCTCGACTTTTCGAGGAGTTTCTTTCACATTGCTGCATTGTACCTTAAACTTCCCGAGTTGTACCTTCACCATTGAACAGATCTTTTATGTAGAAAAATAATCTCTAATCTCAAGTCGACAGTGAAAATTTATTTTATTTATTCATACGCCATTTTCAAAATGCTCAAACATGTGCTGTACGGAAAGGTAACAGGACGGCGTCGTATCATCGAGATTAGGTCAACGATCTCAGTTAAGAATTTCAAAACCAAAAAACTGAAGGGAAAACCGTTGTATATTTCTATGAATGGCAAGATTTTTCTTTTTCATAACATCTCATCTATCTCTAACATATTCAGGTTACTTGCAATCAAATTTCTAATACCCATTTTTAAAATAGTGGATCGAAGTGCGGTTGCCTCTTTTCTGAGCTGAAGATCTATCCCACGCATAAGAGACGCTGATTTGTACAAGTGCGTGACTCCAACTCAAGGTAAGTCTGTTTATTATATCTCACAGAATATTCGTTGAGTGAGGTTGTGTAATGAAGATCAAAATCGAGATGGGCGCTTAATTTATCTGATCATTTTTGGGAGTTTTTTTTTTTTATCGATTGGAGTAGAGCTAGGAAGAAAACTTGTATTTATTTTTTTTCCTGGATGTATTTCAACTTTAAGTAAAGTTTTCCCGCATTTTTACCACTTCAATGAAGGGGGAAAAAATCTTTTTGGATTGCTGACAGTTATTATTATTATTATTTTGAATAATTCGATGTAGAACTGGATGGCGTTCTTAATTTCTCTATCTTTTTTATAAGATAAGAAAATGATGTGAGAGCTCCTGAGTTGCTGAGTTTTTGGAATATACTTTACTGCAGTGTGTTGTTTACTGATTAATTTAGGTCACAAGAAAATAGGTTTTGTGGATTGTGAGGACTTTTGGATTCCATTTTTGTTAGTATAAATGACTACTGCTTGATTCTAACGGGGACTCGAGTTGTTCTAGGTATTTGTGTATAGTAGTGGTAACCTAGGAACCATAGATTGACATCCAGAATATCTGAATATTTTCTGTTACTAGACTTTTCGTTTTAAAAATCATCCAGAGAAGTGATTAGAAATGATCATTGAATATGGAAGTTTCTTTCTCTGATTTGATGCTGTTGGTCACAAGTTATTCAAATGAGTTTCATTCTCTATGTGGTTTATTTATATTACTCTAGTTGTCATGTTTCTAATGAATTATTGGAAATAAATTTCTTATGAATATTTTCTGTTACTAGACTTTTCGTTTTAAAAATCATCCAGAGAAGTGATTAGAAATGATCATTGAATATGGAAGTTTCTCTCTCTGATTTGATGCTGTTGGTCACAAGTTATTCAAATGAGTTTCATTCTCTATGTGGTTTATTTATATTACTCTAGTTGTCATGTTTCTAATGAATTATTGGAAATAAATTTCTTTGTTTCTTGACATGGTTTCACAAATAAAACTAAATATAATATTTTGGCGTACTTAGTTCAACTTTAAGACTACCAATTTGTAATCTTCTATCCATATCTGAAAATGACGTGATTAAAAATTTTCCATATTGTAGAGCATTATCTAGAGGGGCTTTACTAAATTCCCCTGATCCTGGTTTAGAGATAAATATGACAGAGGACATAAATAAGGGTTCCCAAAGTGGCGAAAGAAGCTTCAAAAGTCATCAGCTAAACGGCTTGCCAGATGAGGTCTCTAGTCCAGTTAGAAGAGAGGTAGTCAGCAGGTACACTTCTTTTGGGGTCTCCATAATGATGGGATTTTTCAATTTTGTGGCTTTTCATGGATTCCATTTTATGTTGATAGATTTAATTGAGGTTGCTATGACAATGGTCAAATGTTTGAATATATCCAGGGTGTAATCTTGCTTTTTTAAATTTCCCTTTCTGACGGATGAAGCTAGATTGAATTTTAATGTTTCATTATGTGAAGTTTTCATGCTTTCAATTTTAAATTCTGTTGATCACTTCCAAACGCCTTCAGAGTATGCCCTAATGCTTATTCAAATTAAACTACAATGCTTTACTCCAAATACCAACCTGTTTCAAACTGAGATCCAAATCAGAACCCAAAGACTCTTACCAGTTACAACTTGGCATACCAACAAACCTTGTGCAGCTCACTATCATTTTCTTCTATTCAACTAAAAATCGATGAAAAGATGTTATGACTTGTAACTGAAGATTATGGATTTGAATGATGAGACTAATCTATAATTCGAGAATCTTGGCTGTCTGATCAAGTATGTACATGGTGCGGCTTAACACGTAGCAAGATTTTATCTGAGGGTCCATGATCGACTTGAGTGCATTGAAAATTTTATCCCCAATGCAATACGTTTTCAAAAATTTCCTTCTAATGCGTTCCTTGTTTCCTAACACATGTTTTCTCATACAGACACTCCATTTCGAGAAGCAAATCATTTCTCAAAAATACCAAAAAGCGTAAAAGGAAGAAGAGGAATTGAAACTGCCCCAAAATGTACCCTAAAACCGCTTTTCCCTTTGTTGATAAGATTTTTCTGAAGAAACGCCAATGGCAGAGGCCACGATGTTAAGGAAATGATTTGGAGCACTTAATTGCTCTCCTCTTTGTTAATAAGATACTTTTAACCAAAGGCAAATAATGGCTACCTCCATGATAACACCTAACTAAATGATTTCAGAGACTGAATAGGTAAGAAAAAGAATTCAGAACGAAAACTTATTTTACTTTTTGGCTCCAGATTTTTCGGGTAAGTATATTAAAACATCAAGGTTTTAATTCTTGTGCGATGACTGAACTGCTGGAAACTGAGTGATTTACATAAGCCTTCTAACTGTCCTTTTTCTTCCAATTGTTTCAAGAAAGATAATTAAGTTTGGAATTCTTTACTTTATGAAGTGAATGATTGGGCTATGTAAGCCGCATACATTGCATTGGTATCATATCTGACTTTGAGATTTTTTCCTTTTAAATCAATTGGTTCAAATGTGGTGTTGATTACTTGATATCATTTCTCATAATGGTAATAGTTTCAAATTCTTACAATTCTACTTGCTTGCAGATCAGCTCTTGGAATGAACACTCCAAGCAATTATGATGAGATAGATGTGGAGAGTGGAAAATTGGAGGAGGGTAGAGAAAAAACAGTGCGTAGTAGTAAAAGAGTACTTAGAATACACAACCAGGCCTTGTTGGCTGGCCTTGCATATTGTTTTTCTTCCTGTAGCATGATATTGGTTAACAAGTACGTCCTCTCCAGTTATAACTTTAATGCTGGAATATCTTTGATGCTATACCAGGTTACCTTTCATATAAGATTCTCTGTTAATACTACAAGACAATTAGTCTTTGTTGTCTTGTATTGCTTTTACTCATAGTCAAATTGATTCTAGTAAATTTCTGTCATATAGTCTAACAGTGCTTGTTGATGGGTGCAGAATTTTGTCTCAGTGATTATTGTTGTCACTTTGAGTTTCCTTGGCATAATTACCACAGAACCACTTACCTGGAGATTAATGAAAGTCTGGTTGCCTGTAAATGTTATATTTGTTGGGATGCTGATCACTAGTATGTTCAGGTACAATATGTTTATTATCTTGTTATCATAAACACCCTAAATTTCATCATCTTAATATGAAAAGTTGTTCTCTTATGATACTCCGGATACAGAATTATATTCTATATGCTTATGCTTGTCTCTGCTGTTAATTCATCCTTGCTAGTTATTCATATATGTGTACTGCAGTGCTGAGTTCCTTTACTATGCAAAAAACTTATTCAATACATGGTCATTATTGCACCATAATGAAATGTGATAATTGCGAAAGGTTAATATTCTACTTATTTTACATGCTTAAGCCCTCTGAAGATTAGTATCTCATCTTAATTTTCTGGTATCTTAGGTAACTGCCTGGATTCTCTTCAAGCTTTATATTATTATTTTTTAATTGCTTGTTTTTATTGATAATGGATGAGAATTTTATACTAGACAACAAATATGTTATTTTATGTAAGTGTTTCTTCTTGTGGACTTCCAACGGATATTGAGATTGTATTTAAAATACTAACATAAAGTTCATTTCCCTCGGTTGAAATTGATATTGACTAATTTATTTTTGGTTTCCCTTTTCTCTGTGGGATACTTATGTTACTTTTCTCTTTCTTTCTCAACAATAATTATGTTGTACATATTATATGAAATAGTTTGCTTCTAATCTTTTCAGAAGAAAATTGTTTAGCTTGACTACCATGTTATTTGTTATTAATTTGTATAATCACTCCTCTTGTCAACTGTTCTTCCAATTTGTTGTTCCTTGTCTTACTTAATGTCTTTAATGCTGTGACTTAGAGCTTGATCTGTCCAACCTTAAATTTTGTCACTTTGTGCTGTTTTGATTGATTGTTTTGCTAGCTAAAATATGTAATTATCTCTACTTGCATGTCTAAACTGCGGTGTTCATTTAGCACTTCATTTTTTAATTTGTCTCTTGACTGAATGGCTTCATCATGTTCTTATGTCGAGGATTCAAATTCCGGTAGACTGTGGATATAATTAGAGGTTAAATGATTATGAACTCATTTTGTTTTATTCAATTGTTTGCCTTGTAATGTTGAGTCTTCAAAAAATGTTTGTGTTACATAACATCCGTGTTCTTTGTTTGTAGTCTAAAGTACATTAATGTTGCCATGGTCACTGTTCTGAAGAATGTAACCAATGTAATGACTGCTGTTGGTGAAATGTATTTATTCAACAAGCATCATGACAACAGAGTTTGGGCAGCTCTTTTCTTAATGGTATGTCAAGAGGTGGCTCCTCTTAATTACACTTATATATAAATGTTGGCAACCTATTGACCTGTACGTGGACAATACTTTTGTGTAACTGCTAATACATCTTGACTAGTTAACTCTAATCAGTCATGCTTTCAGTTAATCAAAGCTAAATTTATCAAAGTCTAGTGCTATTTGATCATCATTTATCCTTAAATTAATCATACTGAATTATCTAATTGAATTAGGATTAATACTCAATCAATCAGTGGTTGAGCTCCAATTGTTCAAAATGTTAGTTTCAACCATATCTAATAAGCTGCTTCATCAAGAAGTCAAAAGTATGGTACTGGCTAGCATATCATTTTTATCTGTGCAGAAATGTAATGATTGTTCTTAATTACATTAGATTATAATTTTCAGTAGGTTGATGCATATTTGAAGTCTTGCATTTACATTTGTAGATCATTTCAGCAATATCTGGAGGAATTACAGATCTCTCTTTTCATGCCATTGGATACACGTGGCAATTCATCAATTGTTTTTTGACAGCATCCTATTCTGTGAGTAATACTCATTCGTACATCAAGTCCTGATTATATACTGAGCTGTATTATCTTATACTCCTTCCACAGCAATCACCTCTCGTATTTCCATTTTCTAGTATTTCTTGTTGTAGCTGGAGATTGTGGTGACTTAATCTGTTATTTGATGCTATAAATAATATTGCTCCAATGTTGCTTGCTTTCAAGTCAAGTCAACTCATGCTAGACTTGATGCAAGGAAGGGTTTAAAAACTCGTAAAAGTTGGAAATAAATTGAAGGAGAAGGGGGCGCACTTGAAATAGAGAAAGCGGAAAGAAAAGAGAAATACTGGAAGCAGTTTTTGGAATTTTGGATTAATGGGCTATTTTAGGTAAATTGAGTATGAATTAGAAAAGAATGCTCTTTTGCATCCGTAAGAATTGCCCTTGACCTTTAATAAGGCATAGTACCATCATGGTTTGTTTTATATATACTTTGAGACTGATGGTGTTAACTTCAGTTAGGTAGATGATTTACACTGAGATATTAGAAAGCTGCTGGTTCAGTTCCTTACTATGTGCAAATGCATTTCTTACATTTGTAGACACATTTATTCTTACAATTCTCTTTTAAATTTCAAATTTTCCATGAAGCACCATAAGGTTACTGACTGTAGTTTCTTGAAATTTTATAACTAATGGATTTTCTACAAATTACCAACATTTTTTTTCCTTAATTTATAGGCTATGTTGTTGATATATTATTTGTCTTCTTTTGGTGCAGCTGACTTTGCGTAGAGTCATGGATACTGCAAAGCAAGTCACTAAATCTGGGGACTTGAATGAGTTCTCAATGGTCCTGCTAAATAATACCCTTTCGCTGCCCCTAGGAACATTACTCGTTCTTGTATTCAATGAGGTTGATTATCTTTCAAGAACGTGAGTTTTGGTTTCCTTATAATTATTGTTGTATGCTGATGCTTTCTATCAGTACTAAGATAATTTAATTTTATTTGATGAGCATATGCATATCGATCCATATTTAATTAGTTTAGAGATACAAATAGGGAAATAGTAAGTTTTGAAGGTGGCATGTTAAAGTAAAAACTTTTGTTAAAACATGCTCAATCAGTTATGGAATGGAGGGTTCATCAAAGCACTTTGATAACTTGCTCTTTTCTTATTTCAAGTGAAAAAGTTACTTATTTTGAAAGTAATTCTTACCTTATTAAAAAAATAAGTAACTTAATTTCAACATTGAGCAATACAATATTATTTGTTGGATGGGAATGATTGAAAGGTACTAAAAAGTCACATTTGAATCTGGAACTTTTAAACTCGTGTACTTACACTAAAGTTTTTAAGCTTAGGCTACCATGCTCTAAATCTTGTGTTTCTTTGTTTCCCATGGCAGACCACTTTTGAGGCTGCCCACCTTCTGGCTGGTCATCACGCTTAGTGGATTCTTGGGTTTGGCAATAAGCTTCACTTCCATGTGGTTTCTACATCAAACCGGGGCTACTACATACAGGTAAGATTTCCTTATTTCCTGTTTCGCTGCCTCCTAGGTTTAAAATAATTGAAGAAGACAGTGAATTCTCCCCTAATTGAAGTCCCCATGGAACTGATTGTCAGATTATGCATGTCTTTTCTTTGTTTTCTTGTTAATCCATTTCGTATGCTGCAGCCTTGTTGGTTCGCTAAATAAGATACCTCTTTCTGTTGCTGGTATCCTTCTTTTTCACGTTGCAACAAGTTTGGAAAATTCTGCAAGCATATTCTTCGGTAAATTTCCTATGGTTTTGCAAGCTTTATAGTTCTACAGTAAGAATCACAATTACTTATTAATTTGTTTCTTGTGTTCCACAGGCTTACTGGCTGGAGTGTTTTTTGCAAGAGCAAAAATGCGTGATAGAACTCGATCTTGAAGAGATTAGAATTACACCTGGAGATCAACTTTCTTATTTATACCCTGAACATTTCTCTTTTGACAAAAAAGAGTTGGATAATCTTACATAGTATGAGATCTTCGAGTTCCTTTTGCATACTGTTGGGAAATGGGTTATTGTTTTCCCCTTAGCTGTTGCAGAAACCATTAAGAGACTGAATTACAAAATTATCGAAAATCAATGTTACGTATAAGTGTTGGTTAATTTCATTTTTCCCTTGTTGCGAAATTTTGTTAGCTAAGTTTTGCTGGTTATTTCACTTGAGCCACTTCTGCGACGTGACCTGCATACCACTAAGCAGTATCAAGAAAAAAAATAAGTGAAAATCTTATAATTCATTTTTGTTGAATATTGCATGACAAACATGCCCTTCGTGTATCGATGTATTAGCTCTTAACTGATTGTCAACATTGTAAAATCTGAGGAAAGATTAGAGACATGGGAGACTACTAGCAAATGCTGCCTCATTGATACTTTGTGATACAGTTACATTCACTTGCCTTCAACCAAACTTTGGCAACAAAATTTCCAAACTCACCACGACAAGAAAAAATAAACATAAAGTCGAGCTCCAACTTGTGTTTAAACAATCTCAGTTACACGATTTAATGAAAATAATGGTGATTTGCATAACTTCTAAGGTCTCTTAACACATCAGTATGTAACAGGCTTGATAGTAGCTCTTCATCCTCTGCCTCGGTTAATGTGCCATTTGTTTTGTTCTCCTGACTTGCAGCATTGTCCCTGCCACTAGTCTCATGCCAAGGTGATCTCAAATACAACTCCTTCCAGATTTTGAACAACTGCCCGAGTTCCAGTAACTTCATTTATCTGCAATCCATGTCGAATAGCTTCACTGATAACTAAGGTGTCCATGCTGCACAGAGAGAAGCAATATAAAAGCCAAATTGTAGTTAAACCTAGATCTTGTCATCTTCCCACCACTAAAATCTTGAGTTACTTTGCAATTTTTGATACTGATTGAGAATAATCTGTTTAAAATCCTTTTTAAGAACCAACTAGAATGATGTAATATATTAATTCTTGTAACTAAATACATTATCTGTTCTAGATGACCATCCACATGGTTAATATTAGGACTAATCTTATGCAAATTGTAATAAATATATATATATTGAAAGGTACAAATTGTAATATTCATATCCCTTTTCATTGTTATCAAAGCCAACCAATTTTAAAATTAGTACATGAAATTATTACAATGATATTCATCTATAAAACAAACAAGTCACTTACACTTTTGCTCTGGATACATAGGCCAATATAAATTTGCATTTGTTCTCACGGCCAACACTCAGGATCTTTTCCACGGTATCGAAGAGCAAAGGAACACTTGACTGTTGAAAGCTTGAAAAGCATTAAGGCTTCTTTCATTTTTTCTAGGTTTCAACATGATTGACTAAAAGAAAGAGCTAGAAGATTGAAATGAAGTGCACTAAATCTCATCTGCTCATGTGTTATGATTTAGGTTATACGTTACAAAGACAATTCAGAACTAAGAACAGAAATCAAATAGAGATTACTTCAGCTTAAAACATTTTTGTGCATTGGGCAACTGCACATGACATGGCGAAAATTTGATTCTATGTCAAAGTTAAAAAGCATATAACCAAATGTAATCATGCATTGAAATTTTTGAATGGCTATTTGGGAGATTCTAGGTAAGTAACGGCATGGTTGTACGAGAAAAATAAAAGGAAAATTCCCAGATAGATGGTGAGTAGAAAATAGTAAACATAATTATAGCTTTACAAGGTCTTAAACAAAATTGTAAAATATAACCAACAAAGCCAAGTGTTATATCTTCATTGTAGGGACATCTTCATGGGTGGGTGATGCGTACTATGCATGTTAACTATCAAAAACTCACCATTTACTAACATGCATATAAAACAAGTTGATGAATAGTAAAGATATGGATATAGATGTCAGCTCCAAGAACTAGATCAAACTCTGTTGAATGCCTTTGCAAGATGCTGTTGAGCTGGTCAGAATTTCCCCACTCTAGCTTCTCAGCTTTTAATTCTGCAAATACAAGAGGAAACAGATGATATAACTTTCCAAATTTTTCTGATCTTTTCTTTTTAAAATTATTTCATTACCAGCGCAACAAAGAGAATTCTGAGAAGATTCCTGCAGTTCTATATTCTTCTTCAGTATCTGAAAATGTACATATAAGATAAAGATGTCAACCTAAAGATAAGACGTCAAACTTACAGTTTATCAAAAGCGGTGACATTCAATTGCATAGCCTTGCCTTGAGAACCTCCTCATTATGGTCTGTCAAAACTACTTCACGACAGAATCTGCTACAAAGCATCCCAGTAATGCCTGCATGTATAAATCTGCGATCAATATATCATATAGGAAATTAGTGATCAATTTTCCCTATATGAACCTTAAGTGGTATTAACAAATAATTTCATGATTTGAATATAACTGCTGACTTTTATGTGCCCCTTTGTCACTCTAGAAAAATTATTTTACTAAAATAGAGGACAACTAGGCCTTATGGTTTACAGTCTTCAGTTGTAGTACATAAATGGCTAAATCTAGGGACAAAAGTATTTTATCGTGGGTCCCGCTTATAAACATAGAATTGATGGGCCATCTAAGATTGAATTACATAACGAGATCCTACAATTTAGCTCTTACAACCTGTAGGATCTGCACTGTTAATGGGCTATCTAATAGCAACTTAAAATAATGTGCTCCTGAAGATGAGATAATACTATCTTTTGATTCAGGAAAAATGAACAGATGAAAAAGGATTCCATATATAACATTTTAAGGTTGAAAATTTATCCTCATTCTGGGATGAAAATAGTTGCTGCATTGCCATGTAAACTCATGCAAGCAGATTCTGAAAGATCCGGTGATCCACGCACCTAAGCATGTGGCTAACAAACCCCACCATATGCCATATCAGGATATGGGAACAACTCATGTTAACAATGTGAGTAACAAAAGCCTGAGTCACAAGAATCCAACATCAGTCGCTATCAAGTGAAATATGTTGTATCTAGAGAGATTCGATATTTTGCGTTCCACTACACTACCCATCCAAATCTTCAATAGTTCACAATGAATGCGTTGAGCAGTTAATGAATAACAAGCAGATGCAACTTACAATCCTAAGATTCTGTCAAAAGTGTTTTCCGATTTTTAAATTTTTAGCTACATATAAACCTGACCAAACTATGGTTCATAGAAAGAGAAATTCTTTGAAATATCCTATTGAGCCAAGTTGCTATTCAATAATAGATTATGTGCCACTCTTGCTACAATGGTTCTTTTCTGAAAACACAACTACTACAAGAATTTTTGTTTCTTGTATATATACAAAAAGGCGTGATATTCTCTAAAGCACTGCCCATTTCAACTTTGGATGTAAATACAGTATAAACCTACGGAAATCATTATTTTTCTATATGGTTCCTGAAATTGTTTCTTTTCTCAGAAAATTGCACTTCAAATTGTTGAATTCAAGAATTAATATTAACTATCAGCACATTGGTGATAGCCATACACAAAGTTATAGAATTGTACATATTAAAGCTTTAAGAAGACTCTGTAAAGAGGAAGAAAGCTAGGACTAACCAACCCCAGAGCCTAGCTCAATAACAGAACTTCCTTGAAGCGTTTCAGCATTTTTCGAGAGATAGTCATTTAAAAGCACTGCCCCAGGCCATACTAACTGCCCTGTCAAATCAAAATCAGCTGACATACAAATATGATCGGTCAGACCACATTTGCAATTTGCATCACATTATAATGTAGATTGGATTAATAAATCAGCAAATTCTTTAACCATAAAAAATCTTCTGACTGGAGCTTAATATAACTTCAATGCATTCACCCCTACAAATATTTATATTTCAAGAAAAAATTCAAAATCCCCAAGCTCATTCTTATATTTACCTAGAAAATCACATATCAATAAATTGCACAAAATACATAAGAATAACAAGAAAAAGAGAAACGTGTTTAATATCTTCCCATCATTTTAACCAAAATTTCTGTAAGGGGAAAAAAGACTCACTTGAAGCTGACTGTAAGCAGTAGAGCTCGAGAACATGAGACCCAAATGTAAATGGAGTAAGTTGATAGCTGCATAAAACAATCTTTTCAATAATCCAAACAAGAAAATGTGTATGAAAGAGAAAAGGTAGTATAGCATACTTGTCATTGATGAAGAACGATTCATCTAAACAGACAATTTCATCGTCTTCTCCTTCCCTTTCCATCAAAAGTTGCTATTTGTTTACGCACAGAAAAGAAGGAACATGGAAGCCCAATTTGTTCCATATATTAGCTTGGCTAATTTTTCTATATGATTTGGGCCCTTAAATGGAGGGCTGAAGCCCAATTTGTTCCATATATTAGCTTGGCTAATTTTTCTATATGATTTGGGCCCTTAAATGGAGGGCTAACGCCCAATTTGTTCCATATATTAGCTTGGCTAATTTTTCTTAAGCCCGCATTATTTCCATAAAAAAACATTTGTGAATAGTGTATTGATAGGAAATGCGTAGTAAAAAATAAGAAAAAATTTTGAATTTACATATAATATTATTTTATTGAAAAATGTGTGATTGAAATTATATCAAATCACTATTTAAGAATGTATTTTTTGAAAAGAACGTGGGTCAAATAGGGTTGTCAATGGATTATATTTTTATCCGAATTCGATGAAATTAATGGAAGATGAATTTAGAGTCTCAATCCAATAAGCCGATTGAGATCCAAATTCGATGATCTGTTAATTAAATAAATCAAATATGGATATAGGTCAATCCGATTTGATAACAACCCGATCCGATTTATTATAATAATATATTATATTTTTTATATTATCGCATAATTTATGACACTGTTTTTCTATTTTGAAAATTTTATTATACTTTACACATACTTTTTAAATAATAAATAGTATTATATAATAGTATAATATTTTTAATTGAAAATTTTCAAGAGATTTAATTTTTTTATTAATTAAAATAAGATAAAACTAATAATTAATTTATTGATTAGATTTACTATAGTAATTTGTTTTATAACATAAAAACTAACAATTAATATGTCCAAAATAATTTACTTTGTTAAAATTGACATTATTTATAATTAAAATCTTATTGATGCTATGATTTTTAATGAAAATAATAAAGTCAACTAGTAAATACTTAGAATTGACAAATGATGATAATTAGTATCTCACATTGAAATATCGCTAAAACATTCTAAGAGGTGTCTCTTTTAAATAGGAATTAAAATTATCATCACTTGGATTAAAAAAAATTTGATTTGAGCCTTCTAATATAATAAGTAAACCCATCAAGATAGTTCAAATATTTTTTTAAAAGTGAAAATTACACAAATTCAAGGGTTTAAACATCACAATTCAAATATCAGAGTTGAAGTTTCAGTATGCAAAATCCAGGTATTGATTTAATAATTTAAATATTTATATTTCACCCAATTCATCAATTTTGTAATCCCTAATAAGTTTACCGTGCGTTTTCTCTCTCTACCATCTCTATACAGTATACTTTCCCTTCACTCTATCATAAAATGCCACCGTCGGTGGCGATTCACAACGGCAACGACATGGCACCTTTGGCGTCAAGGAAAGGCATCGGAAATGCAACAATCGACTCTAGCTCCGGGGCCTCTGCTCGCGGATCCTTAGTTTCGTCGGTACACAGATCGGGCGATTCGTGGTTTTCACCAACGCCGTTATGTTTGCCTGGACCACCACTTCTCTCTGCTCACGAAGGCGAAGCAGATCTACCGAGCTACTGCACTTTTCCCTTCTCGAGTTGCGGTGATGAAATCACACTGCTAAAAAGACCACCCACTCTGGTGTTGTGGGTTTAGATGATGATTTGTGTAATATTGGTCATTGACTGATTGTGTTTGAGTGGTGGCGGTTTGCGGTGGTGGTGATGGTGATGGTGATGGCGATGGCGGTGGTGTGTTTTTGTATGAGTTCATGACTCGGTCAATCCCTCAGCTGTGTTGATGTGGTGGTGGTGGTGTGGTGTGTAAGTTGTTGGTTTGTGTTGATTGAGGTGTGGCCTTTTTGTTGGTGGTGGTACATTGTTGGGGGGGTGGTGATGATGGTGGTATCAGCGGCGAGATGGTGTTGATGGTTGTGTGGTGTTGTGGTGTGGTGCAGTTAGTCGTCGTGCTTTGGTGGTCGTTTTGGTTGTTGGTCGTGGTCGTGGTGGTGTTGTGACTGGACGGGTGTAATACTGATTATGACCAACTATTTGGTTGCTATGTGACCAAGTGTTGGTGGTGGATTGGGATCGCGGTGGAATGTTTGGTATATGTGACCAAGTATTAGTAGTGGATTGTGTTTTGTTGCGTTTTTTAGGTGGTGGTGGCATCTGTGACCAACTAATTCGGCATTCGTGACCAATTATTTAGGCTTCTGTGACCAAAAATTAATGGTGGATCAGTATCAGGGATTGGGTGTTTAGTGCATGTGACCAACTATTTTATTATTTGTGACTAATTATTTAACCGTGACCTTAAAATTCAATATTGTGACTAACAAACTGTGACCTATGTATCTCGTAAATATACTGTGACCTGTAATTTGAATGATTTGTGACCTCAAAATAATTCGTGACTACAAGTTTTTTATTTGTGACCACAAAATAATTTGTAACCAATTAATTTGATAATATGTGACCAGTAAATAAATTTGTAACCTATAATTACGAATCTGTGACCATTAATTATATAATTGTGATTTTATTATATTTATTCAATAAATATTTTTAATTAATTAGATAAAATGCTTATTTTTGCATAATTAAACTTAACACTTGATTTTTGAATTGTGCATTGTTAATACATGGATTGTGTATTTTCCCCTTTTTAAAATAAATAAATAATTAAAAATCTTGTTGAGGTTATGATTTTTAATGAAAAAAAAATAAATGAAATTTTTATTTTTCTAATTTTTTCAATTTCGGATCGGATTATTAGATTTGATATTCGATAACATAGCTAATCGAATTTGGATTTAACATTCAAATATCCGTCGAATTATCAGATTGAATGATTATTCTTAACGAATTAGATCGAATTTGAGCAAATCCGATCCATTGACAGCCCTACGGTCCAACAGGACCTAAATAATATATTTTTTGGAATATCTCAATCATACTAAGCAGCGCATGTTATTGAAAACGAAAGAAAAATAATACGAGAGGGGGCTAGGCTAGACATCCAAATTGTGAGCCTATTAGAAAAAACATGATGATCAAAAGTTGAATGTAATTTTTCTTAATATTTGGTCTTTCATCTTATTTAAATTGAATTATTTATAACGGAAAAAATACCCTATCAATTTATTTTGACCATCAGGAATACCCACATAGTACACGCGCCAAACTATTTGAGGAGTCAAAAAGGTAAATAAAAATTATGAAAACAAAAGAAAAAGGAAAGAAACTGGCACCTATAAGAGTTGAGATCTGACGTTATTTGTCCTTGATAAAATTTTGATGCTTTGATACAACAATTCTTATATTGTCACTTGTAATATATTATATATTTACATATTTACAATTGAACCCAAGTTACAGATATGTTAAATAAATGAATCCCGCTATTCGTACAGAAGAGTTTGACAGAATTAGTTGACAGATACTCACAATATGGGGGGCCACTTTTTTTTTTAAAAAAAATTATTCACGTGGATCCCATAGTAATGTGAGTATCTGTCAACAAGTATGTCAACCATTTTTCTGTACAAATGGTTGTTCCCTAAATATTTAGTGTGGGAGGGACATCCAATGTGAACAATGTATCTTGAAGTGCATGAATTTCTCGAATCTCAATAGAGACTTTGATCAAGAAAACAACTCTTAAGGTGTGTTTGATTGGGAATATAAAATTTGTATGAAAATAAAATAAGTTCTAGAAAACTTATTTATATAAAAATTATTAATTAATTTAGTTTTTAACTTAAAAAATATTATACTTATTCATTTTTTATTAATTGATAGATGAGAGAGAGGAGATAGATAAAAGAGAGTGAGAGGCAGAATTATTTGAAAAATTAAAACCACATCTTCTTTCCCTTCTTTTTGAGGAAAATACAGTCACGTGACTAAAAGTTGAAAAATATTTTCCATGAAAAAAATTGTCAATCAAACACTGCAAAATTAGGAATTCAGGCGAAAAAAATGACATTTTCTATAAAAATAGAGCCAATCAAACACACTCTTGATATTGATTTGGGACCTTTATAATCTATTTTATAATTCAAATCTTTATAATACAATCACACTTCGGAGGAGAACAGAAACAAGTTATTCCATCTATCATAACACGTAAAGGTCCCCCATTCCTTTCAAGAAGACGTCCACTGTTCCTCTTTCTAGTTGCATATAAATGCAAATTTCCACAAGGGGATAGAAGCAAAAAGAATGATAATTCTTAAAAGTAAAAATTACTTGGACCTCGAGCTTGAGAAAAAATCGCCAACAGTCAAGAACACGTGTTTATTCAACACAACATCCACTGCAGGTTGATCTTCAATGCACTTAACTGTGATCTTACCGTTTCCTCGTTGAAATTCTAACTTCAAATTATGGTGATCCCTCGACAACAAATAAGTTTTTAACCCTTGCACGAACTTGGTATTGCCTGCGTACAACTCGACAATGGCATCCAAGTTGAATACTAGAGCTGGTCTTGCCAGAGTGATAGCAAAAGAGATATTTGATATCCCATGAAAACTCTCCTCGTCAAGAATCACAGCATGCGGAGGCATCAAATTAGAGGGAAGCAATGAAGACCCAAGAGCATCCCTGACGTATAGTTCCTGTGATTCTAAAATTTCTTCAAGTTTTGTTTTGTTTTCATCCAATGATTTAAAATAGACCTCCACCAAGTCGGTAGGCTCAAGTGCAGCTTTCTTACGTAACTTCTGAACTCTATTAACAACCTCACGAGCAATTCCAGCCTCAAACAATGACTCGTCCCCTTGCAAATCCAATATCACCAAGACATCACCATCTCCTGCAGCATCCATTTCTTCTTCCTTCACATTATCAGGACGTCTAAAACCCCGAATTATCTTAAGATCACCAAGCTTCAAAACATAATTTGCAATAGTAACTTCTCCAGCTGTTTCAAAAGCTAAGACATCTTTTGTTGACATTGCCTTCACCTCCTTTGTCACGACTCCCATTGATTTTCCCAAGCGTTTTCCTAAAACACTAAAATCAGGTTCTGCTCTCAAGGAAGTGTACTTCAATGTA